GGTTTTGGGAAAGTGTAGTCATATAACATTGGACAATCCCTGAAGGTAGTCCCGCCGTGGCATAGGCTTCATGACACTGCATTGTATGGTAATGTTCGCCGATCTGCGCTAACATCGCAAAGGATATACGAGAGCACAAAGCTGTGTCCGAACGAGTTACCAGAGGCTCTGGTCGAGGATGTATGTGTCCTCAATCCGCGCTGACTATCTATGCAAGTTTCCGTGATATCCCTACAAGATGCTCCTGTTCAGCTCTTGAACCAGACCCTTGTCAGGAAGTACGAGATTCCCTCGTGGGAAGTCTTCAAGCATTGACGCATACACACAAAGTAAATGGTAGCTTAGAACCGATTGTTAACAGCTATGAGAGCTATCGGTACTCTGGGGAAGGTTAGCACTAGAATATCCAAGCTCCAGTGTATCTATGACGGTGCGACAGAAGCGACAGTATATTGTCGACAAGCAGAGAATCTGGAGCGACTGCGAGGACACATTCTCCAGTTCAGTCCGTATAATTCAGCCGTGATACATTCCAAAACGAGTTATGAAGCATCATCGCTATCCCGTGTCTAGACAGCTCTGGTAGTCAACGTATACTAAGCGAGACCCAGCTGGCGAAAACAGTCACCATGGAGAGGTGCCAGCGCGTTGATCATGTAGTGGTCAAGTAGAAGCCTAGACCGTGGTGGCTTGAAAGAATCAAACAAGCTCTAGTCCATAATATCTGGACCTTTCTATCAGACGTACGCGACGGGGTTTTCGATGACAAACCAAATGGTGACCTGTGATCTAGAATAGTTCTCGAAGCTGGAATATGACTGTGGATTGATCAGCGACCCACTTTATGATCAATGGCCTGAGGCAACGGGGTCGTTTCACTCATAAAGACAAAGTCAACCGCTTCTAGTGTAGAACAGCTCCAGGAGATATATGACAGATACTACTCAAGCGTAGTATTCATAACCGAACTGTTAGGTCGATAGTATTCATTGCCTCTAGATATGGTATAAGATTGACGAGTGTGATAGACTCCTCTCAGTCGCGATATTCCTTCTTAGGTTGGTCCATCTACCCCTCGAATATTAGGTGCAATCTCACAGAGCACAGATAACTGGCCTTAACATGGTACTGATGAAGTCGTGTTGTCCTATGGACAAGACTGACTAGCTAGTGGCATTGTCGCATAGTCTCAGCCATAACTGACGAAGCAGGCAGTTGAAACCTCTTGCTTCTAGGTTCCTGGAAGATTAGTCATGGAAAGGTCTAGAAAAATAAAATAGGGTTTTGCAAAGCTCTCAGAGCTAGTATCGTGATCAGAGTGTTGGCGATCTCTTCTAGACTGTAGTATGTCTCAGTTGCTTGGCAATCAGACAATTCGACTGCGTCGTCGTAGCATGCCTTTTTGAGGCATATTTCTATTGCATAGCTTTACATTAGCTATTTAGCTCTGCTACAAGTGACTGATCCCGCTGGACGTCCCGACGTGGCCAACACTTGGACTAAAGACCTTGCATAGATGTCAAGTCACGTCAGCACGTGTTCGCGCAAAGTAAAGTGACGATCATCGCTGATGTGCGAGAATCTGGCATTGATTGTCTACCTCAAGAGCACCATAATAGCGCACGGAATATTAATTCGTCGATGCGCTAGATGCCTGGAAAGATAGTTCGTCGTCCGGCTTCTAAAGGTGATTGTATATGCAGGGTGGTATGAAACACAATCACTTGAGCAGGTGCAACCCCTCAATCGACAGCCTTAGCAAGGCGGCATACTCTAGTGTAGAGCGCTAATGCACCATGTATAGTGTGTAAGGGGCATATGGTCGGAGTGGTGCATTCGTTTTGTACTGATTAGATAGAACCTATCATCTGATGAATGAACATCTTTATCTTCCGCGTGCATGCCTTGGGGCCAGGTCAACATGAACTGTCTATGAGCTGCTTATTTCCCTAAGCGAAGCATAGAGATCTAAGCCTTGTGTAGAAGTTTGATCGCACAGCTTCTATGGAGTCAACAGGAGCGATTACCAGCATGACAGGTGTCACGACCTGCTCATGACGCAGATATGTCCGGAAGCGACCAGGATCCGCTGCCACCAAGGCCTCAGCTGCACGCGGGAATTGATTCTCATTCCGTCCATTCAAGCCGACGCTGACGCCCAAAGAATCACCTGCATGCAAAGCCAAGTTCAACTGACGAACGATGATTGAGATGAACCGGAAGGGGAAGAGGGAAAGAAGAGGGAGAATGATGAAGGAAGAGTAGAAAGGGCCGTTAATTAAGGGCGGTGGCCCACCGATCCAAGGTGACGCCCGGGGGAACAACCAACCAGATCGGGGCTCCCCTCAGCAGTGACTGGCTTGGACCTCTCTGTCTGTCTGTCTGGTCTCTCCTCTCTCTCTCTCTCTCCCTCCCTTTCCCTGTCTCCATCCCATCCATCAATCAATCAATCAATCTCCTACTTACTACTTCCTCTTCCCCCCTCCCCTTTGCCTACCCCTCTCCCATTCTTTATACATTCCCCATCTTCATCATTGCCACAAACCTTTTTTAGTCTCCCTTTCAGCCTTACACACAGGGTAATACTCAATCCTCTCCTCCTTCTTCTCCTCCTCCTCCACTCGTGGGCCCGCCCGATCGCCTTCGTGGTCCCTCGTCTCCTCACTACTCACGCCGTCCCCTTTTCGCTCTCGCTGGTCTCCTTCGGGTCGCATGGCCCCCTTCACCCATCCCCGATCAAGGTTCTAGTCTCTTGTTCGGGCCACCCTTGGAAACTCCTCCTCGCCTACCTAATTTAGCACCCTCTCTCAGCCTGCCCTCCTTTCCCTCCTCCGTGCGCGCATCGCCTTGCTTCATCCGCTCCTGTCTTCGATCCCCAGCCTGATTCGCCTCCCCCCCTTTTACCCTCATCAGTCAACTCCCATATCGGTTCAGCTACCCCCAACGGAATTTTCGCTGCAATCTATTCTCTCTTTTAAAGTTTGCATCGATTCCGAACTGCTAGCTTAGCCTTCCTTTCTTCCCCTCGCGCTATCTGACTCGTGCGGCTTCACGAGGTGTGTCAGAACAAACCATGTCGGTCACCGAAGACCCCAAAGTTGATCCCATGTCGCCCACCTCCGACTCCAACCTGCCTTCGCAGTCCACAACCATTGCCGTGCCGTCGTCAGAAACCCAGGAGCTTCCTAGTGCCGCCCCTCATCCCGATAACGCCCAGGCCGAGAGCCAAGAGCCCAGTTCGGTGGATGCGAAGCCCACAGACAATAATGAGGACAATACGTCAGCACCCGTTCCCAAGCAGGACCCTGTAGATGCGGCTCCATCTGCAAGCGCATCTCCTGAACAACACGATGAGGCGAAGGCTCCGGCAGCTGGCTCCGAGCCATCGTCCCAGGGATCAGATGAGGCTGCCAAAGAGGAGGAGGACACAGGCCCATCCTTAGTGATCACTCTGCTCTTGATAACAGGCTCCCGACACCCGTTCAAGATCGATGGAAAGTATCTACGGAAACGGTCAGTCAATGTAGAAAATTACGATCCCTTCGCCATGAGTGTATACACGTTGAAGGAATTGATCTGGCGGGAATGGCGTCAAGGTATGCGTGCAATAGCCAGGGTTGTCTCGGAAGTTGCGGGTGGCTAACATATGATTCCTGGCAGACTGGGAGCCGCGGCCATCATCGCCCAGCTCCATCCGACTCATCTCATTCGGCAAGCTGCTTGATGACAAAGCCCCGTTATCAGGTATCTCTCACCTCTACCGCTTCTCTGGTGCTGGTGCTGATCTATTATCATCTAGACTCCAAGTTCAGCCGGGATGCTCCCAATGTGGTTCACATGACTGTGAAGCCCCAGGAGATCGTTGACGAAGAAGACGCCAAGTCCAAACCCCAGTACACCCGGGAGCGGGAGACCAGTGAGCGTAGCCCTGGCTGTCGCTGCATCATCCAATAATGAATAGCACGGTTTCCGCCCGAGAAAGGAGACGACAGAAGTCATATACTTAAGGCAGCCTTCCCTTGCTTGCGTCCTCGGGAACTGCCATTATCGCTTTGCCCTCCCAGACACCAATGCCAAGCTCACTTGCTTGTGCTATTTGAAGATTCGTCGATACGAGCGTTCTTCTAGACCCCTTATTGGAGCCTTGTTGCTTCTCTCTGCTGGGTTCGAGTAGGCTTTGGTCCTCCCTCACGCTTGTTCGCCTTTTTTGCCGCAAGACATTGCATGTGGTTGGCTGTCTGACCGTAATGAGACGGCGTTATGGATGGGTTATCATCACTTTACCAGCATCGCTGCATTGACATTTACCCCGTTGTCTGATCCACCAAGTGGTCACCGTTTGGCTTGCATAGTTCCATGAGTCGCTTGATGCTGCTCCGCTTCCGCTTATTTCGTATATACCCTAAAGCTCATGTTCTCGCCTGCTCTCCCGCCCCCTGTGTTGTCTCGTTGGCCGGTCTCGATTTGTTGCATTTATGTTCACATATTGGAAGCCTATCTCTTGCAATTGCTTACATGGTCCTTTGCCGTTCTGCTGTGTTTCTGTTGCGTTAGGGCTTGGACCGACGAATTTGCAGTGCTCACGGAAGACCCTGGTGGCCCTCTTCCGATCTGGCCAGCCATCTGATTGAATCTAGTTTGAGATACGGGGCTTGTGCGACCCACAGGTTGATGTCAAATATAGTGTTTCCTTGGTTTGAGGCCAGTGGAAACTACATAATGTACAAAGATTGCACATATGGTAGCTATTCAACCTGTAGTAGTACTTTCCTTTCCACCAACGTAGGCTTAATCAAAATTGTTGGAGTAGATGTAACCACCATTTATTGATTGTATTGTATAATTTACCGCAGACAGCGCCTGTATCAAGAAATAAGAGGAACAAACTTAAAAATCCGATTCATAACAACCCATTCAACAGCCAACCAAAGAGTCAAGTAAAGCCATGCCATGCCATGTCATGTCCAGACCAGACTACCATCATCATCACCACCACCCACTCAGTGATCCATACGCAATCTCTTCTCCATCTCATCATGGAAAGCAGGCGGTTCACGGAACTCATCACCTAAACCCCCACTCGTTAGCATAACACACACACACAATCAAACATATAAACAGAGAAAGGGTAGGTATAGGTAAAAACTCACCCTTAAACACATCCTCCCAACCCACCTCAGCATCCCTACCACCAAGGACCAAAATATCTTCATGGAGATTTCCCATTCCGAGACCACCCAACGCAGCAGGTCTGAACGTCCCATCCCGCACGATCTTCAACTCCATGCCGCGGCGCACGGGTTCCGCGATGCCGTACGCCCGACGCAGCGACTCCATTTTCAATGCATCCTGGGTGGCGCGCCACGCGAGGAGGCGGGCTTCGAGCGGGTGCGTCGAGGATGGGGTGGTGGTCGCTGTGGAGGGAGGGCCCCGGGGTGCTTGGAGAGTGATGTTGTCGCGGAGGGTGTCGGGGAGACCGGGGGCAGAGGGGCGCCCTTGGAGGGGTGGGGGAGGTCGATGACGGCGCGGGTGGTCGTGTTGGTTGTTTGGGTTGGGTTGCTGGAGGGAGGGGCGATGCGGAGGGACTATTGATCTTTGTTAGTTATCCGTTTCTGTATATGAATGAAGGGTTGGTTGGTGGTGGTGAGGGTTATCGGGGAGGTTGTGAGTTAGGTGGATGGACGGACCATTGTGACGGTTGTGATGGGAGTTTTATTTGCAGGGTGGTATATGTGTTGTATCGAAGGTGAGATTAGTAGATGCTTGTGTAAATCGAAAGGTTAGATGAGTGTGGTTGTTCGTGAGATGGGAGGTTGAAAGTCGGATGGATAGTTAAGCAGTAAGTAAAGTCAGTAAAGGTAGTACCGACGTAGCAAGCACCCAGCACCCAGCAGCACCCAGCAGCTCTGACATCGCAGCCAAGCCAGGCAGCCAGTCCACTGGCGCGTTCCCGCAGCAAGCTTCTCCGGCGCACCACACCCACCACCTCCGCCAATCTTTCACCCGTCACGTGATACAATCTCTCTCAGCCCGTCCAGGAAATGTTTCCAATCCCCGATAGCCGATATACACCCCCCCAGGCCAAAGCACATCGCCCAGGAGACATATAAACAAAAATGGCCCCTCTCGTCTCCTCCCTCGCCCTGCGCACGCTTCGGACTCTTGTCCAGCGTCCCGCCGCTATCAAATCCACCACTACCTCCTGCTCTATCACCACCCTCGCCGCTCCCCGACGACCTTTCCAGCCCGTCCTCCGCACGTCCACCGCAGTAGCTGCTGCTGCTGCTGCTGCAGGCAAGACCTCCGTCACATCCTCTTCTTCCTCCATTCTCCGGCAATTCTCCACCTCCCCGTTTCGCCAGGCCACCTACAACCAAGTGCGGCGCGGATGCCGTACTGCGCAGCGCGCACGTCGCTCTCGGTCTCCGGCGCTGATCGGCCGGTCTCAGATGAAGGGAGTGTGTTTGAAGACGGGTATTACGAAGCCTAAGAAGCCGAACTCTGGTGAGCGGAAGACGGCGAGAGTTAGGTTGAGTAGTGGGAAGGTTGTTACGGCTTATATTCCTGGTGAAGGTGAGTTCACTTTCCTCTCCGCTTTGGTTTTCTGTGGGATTGGGGGGCGTGAAGAGAATAAGAGCACATGGGGATCATGGAATTGGATGAATGAGGCTAATTGGTTCATGGTGTGTAGGACACAATATTCAGCAGCACAGTGTTGTTATGGTGCGTGGTGGTCGTGTGCCTGATTGTCCTGGTGTGAAGTACCATTTGGTTCGTGGTTCGATGGATTTGGTACGTTTTATTTTCTGCAATTGGGTTTTTTTTTTTTTTTTTTAATTGGGGTGGGATTGGCTAACTTCTCTCAGGGTGGTGTTGCTTCTCGGTTGAACAGTCGGTCGAAGTATGGTACGAAGAAGCCTAAGAAGGATTAGTTGGGTATGAGGGATGTTGCTTGTGCTTGATTATATCTTTTGGTATTGTTTGTATCATTACATCGTGCTTTGACGGATCTTTATATCGTTGTTATCATTAGAACACGGCTATGTACATTTATGAGGCTTGCCTGGCTACAGAGCAGTTATTTTCCCTTTCCCATTTCATCCCGACTCCATCCAGTACATCCTGCAAACGATCTCTGTACCTTGCAACCCCTATACCCGGAATATGGAGAAAAATGATGCGCGCTTGTGAAGTGAAGTTCCCGACAATCTTATAAACACATGACACACTCGTCCGGAAATCAAGAAATGAAGAATATTTTTTTTTTTCAGATGTTGTGAACCTGCGCCCAGCATTCAGCAGGATGATTGAAAATGGTCCAGTAATGAGCTGGGAAGTGTCCCGTTAGTGGACGTTTTCTTATGCCTGGACAGGGTCACTCGATCGTGCTGGTCAAGAGATGTCCGGCTTTGCTGATCACATGCACGGCCAATTTTGCGCTTCGCAACGACATGATTTCCATATACTAATTGAGTGATAAAGTCAGTCATGAGCCCCTCAGCTCTCATTCTCGTAGCCCTTGGGCTTGTCCATGTCGTTGACTTGGAAGAACCGGGACGTGCCTGTACATTGCTCGTTAGTTATGATGCCCGAACGGAAGAAAAGTGGGGAACTTACAAGAGTATCCCTTCCAGTCAAAGTTGTCCTTAGGGTTGCAGTGGCACTTCAGGTCCAACCTTAGCTGCTCGCCAGTCGGGCAGTGGGTGAAGGGGACATGGTAGTAGCCAATCTCGTTGAAGAAGTGGATCTGCTCCTTCTTCAAGAGAAGTCCCGCGGCGATAGAGTGCACCGGAGCATCGCCCCAGCGTTCGTAGAAGAAGCCACCAGCGTGGTCGAGCGTCTCAAAGTAGTCAATGTATTCCTTGGACCGCAGCCATTCCAGACTTCCAATCTCAAAGTTGGACCACTACAAACCGGTTAGTTAAGCCTGAGGAGAGGTTCAAGGGGCAATACTCACAAAGTGACACTTGTTGTAAGTCTTGCCGCCATCGTCACTCAAGAAACCCATAGAGTTGCCGTCCGCGATATGCTCCGGGTGCTCCTCCATGAACTTTTGCACCGTACCCCACAGGCTCGGGATGGTGTCGTAGTACTCGTACAGACTCAGCACGAAGCTGTACTTCTTGTCGTTCTCTTTCACGTAGCGGAATGGGTCAAAGCTGACATCACAGAAGAGCTCAATGCTGGGCTCCACGCGCCAGTAGTACTCATAGTTTAGCATCAGCGGGTGCCGGAAGAAGAATCCGGATTCATAACGGCACATGTGACGGTAGCTCTCCGAATCGCCGTAGATGATCTTCTTCTCTCCCATTTCCTGTCGGACCTTCTTCGCCTTATCCTGGTCGATCCACTCGGGATATGACCAATGTTCCTTCGGAATCACGCCATAGAACGTATTGCCGGAGATCAAGGCTGAGGTGACCTTCTTGAACTCGTCATCGAAGGGCTTGTCGTTCAAGAACACCCAATCGTAGTGATAGTTGTGGTTAAAGCGGTCTTCCACCGTCCGGATGGACTTGACCATCTCCCAAAGATCAGTGTTGCGAGCGAGGGTCACGAAGGTGGCGTTCACGCGATCCGTCGGGATGTCTTTGATCGGTCCACTTGATGACAGCGCATCATTTTGCGAGGAGGGAGAGGAGGAAAAGGTATCTTTGTACGTCGCGGGGTTCAACTTGGTGCCGATGTTCTCGGGGATTGGGATAGCGCTCCTAGAGATGAAAAAGAAGACGGCCAACCCCTTGAAGCCAGTCAGTGATGCGAAAGGGGTCCTGTGGCGGGCCAGACACACTCACCGTGATGGCAAACAGAAGATATCGCAATGGCCCTATAGCCATGATGTGAAGGGCACTGCGCTGTGCCGAAGCGTCGGTGAGGAGGTGGGAAAAGCAATGCTTGGTTGCGCAGGGCTGAATACGGGTGCCTGTTGCGCAGTGTCGGAGAACAAAGGAGGACGGAGTGTGAGGATCAGAATGCTAATGCTGATGAAGTTGACAAACGAATGACGGACAGCTAGTGTGTAAGGAAGGAAGAAATCCCGAGAGATGGGGGCCTCTCTCGATCTAGGCAGTTGTGACAGGCCCGGTGAGAAATGCGCCTCCCAGATATTCTTGGGGAATCTATGGGCGATCGGTAACGACGATGCAGATGATGGACCCGCGGCGCATCAGGCAAAGATTAAAGTTAGTTGGCAATTCGGGGCACTGGTTGTCGATCCTGACCACGGCGCTCGTGCTTCCCCAACCGTTCTTTATTAGAAAAAGTTTGAGACTGGACGAAAATATTTAAGGAGATCGGAGGTCAAATGTGGGAAAAAAGGCAGATGTCAACAAAGCGCCAGCGTACGTTGGCAGTCTAACCTATTCGCTCCGGTATGGGTGAGGGCGACGTAATTTCCCCCATTGGTGGCCGGGCCACGTACGTCGCACCGATTTTGAGCCACCCAGTGGATGCGTGAGATAAGAAAAGTATACATTCTGACATTAAATTCCTACAAGGAGGAAACTTTTACTCTTTCGTAGGGAGGGGTCTATATCAGAAAAGACGGCAAGGAAGGGATGCGATCGATGTTTGGAGTGTATCAGTCCATCTGGCTGGGCGTCGATCCCATCCTGCCTTGGGGTTGGGGACCACCCATAGGGCGTGATGGATCTGGTCTTAAGAGGTCAAATAATATACTACATGCAAAGCACTGCCCCGGATACTTCATGAAGTAGACAACGATCCGTGTACTCCGAGGGCTTTAAGAGTATGGTGTGATATAGATAGATACTAAAAGGGGTCGTTCTCATATCTACAAAGTCACATTATCTTCCGAGTCCAACGGAGACAACAGGAGACCTGATGACTAAGGGGCAACCGCTTCCCCGTGATGCGGTGGCTAATTGTCTGTCATTCATGCCTTAATGTCTTACTGCCTCAGGCTTTCAGGCCACAGCGGACTAAGCTAAAGCGGGTGATATCAGACCGGCTGTGAACCTCATCCCGCACTACCCAATTATGCCGCGGTGGTAATTCTCGCCCTCTTCCTACACCCACTGCCTCCCCCCCCCACCCCCCGCTTCCCCCGAAGATGTCCTTCTTCGGCTTTAATACCACCCTGCCTAGGGATCGAGCTCCTGTGGACGAACAGAGGGGTATCTTCGACACCCCTGATCCGTTCGCCGAAGTTGCCCGCGCCAGACTGGCAGCAAACTTCCGAGACGACAAGGATGACGACGTGTAAGTCTCCCCCACTCTGCTTCACTCAGATCAATTGAGACAATGGGGGCCATGGAGCTGACCAGCGGCGCCTACCTTCAATTGCTATAGCATCGACTTTGAGGATACGTACGATGGCCTGGGAGACCAACTGGACGATGACCAGGATGCGTTCAACGATGACACGTTTGGTGGCGGCTTCGACACCGGCCCGGTTGGAAAGGACTTCGACTTCTTTGGAAAGACTGCTCAGGTCGCCGATGTGATCGGAGAAGAGCAGATCCGTTACAGCCTTCAGAAACCCGGTGCGCCTGCGACCGCTCCTTCGCAACCCACGGCCGATGCTGCTCTGCCAGACACTGCGGACCAGAAGCCCAAACGGTCTGGCTATGAGAAGTACAACGACCCGGGTTATATCCCTGATCTTCAAGCCAAGTCTAGCGTTTGGGGCATGTCGAAGAAGCCGGAACAGCAATTCCAGCAACAGCTGCAGCAGCTGCAGCAGCCCACGCCCCAGATGGTAGCGCAAGCAAAGAAGATGCTGAGTCTCGAGGAGGTGGAAGCGCAGCTGCGGAGACAGGGTCCGTCTTCGCTCCCCGCCCAAATCCCGCTGTCCCTTCCGCAGTCGATGCCCGAGCCCACTCAACCTCTCCAGCGAGCTCAGATGCCCCCTCTGCCCGAAGGCTTCCCGCAGCTGCCGCCTGAGATTCTCCAGGCCCAGTTCGCCAAGGGTGTCCCACCGGCACTGTTGCAGCACCAGCCACCCATGGTTCCGGAGCCGTACCCGCTCCCTCCAAACCTGCCGATTCATATGCTGCAAAATGCCAACTTGCCTCCTCAGCACATGGTGCCTCCCCAACGTCAGGCGATGCCACCGGCGGCTCAGCGACCCCAGCAGCAGCAACCGCCCCTGCCCCAAGCTCCCCGTGGTAACAACGCGCAACTGCCCGTGATTACCAACTCCCAGCAGTTGATGCACCTGACGGAGGAGCAGCGCGTAGCGTACTTGATGGAAGATGCCAAGCGTGCGAAGCGCAACCACAAGATCTTCCTTCTGTCCAGGGGCAACGGACTGATGACCCCGCAGGACAAGAACTTCATCACCCGGATCCAGCTTCAGCAACTAGTCGCTGCTGCTGGTAACGTGGCGGACTCTGATGCCGAAGCTGTCTTGGCAGAGGACTTTTACTATCAGGTCTACAGTCAGATCCGGGGTGCGCCGCGGCAACATCCGCACCAACCTCTGGGTCACTTTGCGCAGACATACCTTCTCCAGACAGGTAACAGGCTCGGGGGCCATGGCTCTCGCCGGCAGTTCCAGAGCGCCGACAACCACATGCAGAGAATGCAGCAGCAGGTCCAGCGTGCGGTGGAGGCCGCTAAGCAGAAGCCTAAGAATAAGCAGCTTATCATCGAGGGCAGCTTGGGTAAGATCTCTTTCAGCAACGCTAAGACGCCAAAGCCCATGCTCAACATCAAGCGTCCGGAGAGCTCGGAGGGCGCTAAGACGGTGAAGAAGCCGCACACCGATTTGAGCGTTAGCGATCGCAAATCAGTCCTGACCAACCTGGAGAGTGTATACAGCACGCTTATGGATATGGAAGACATGGAGCGCACGATGCCTCCCCCGCCGGATGAGAATGATCCCGAGGCCATTCAGAAGCACATGGAATGGAGACAGAAGATCCGTTCGCTCAACCAGAAGCTGTGGCGCAATCTTAAGGTCATGGAACCCATTGTTCCCAACACCAACACACCCCACCCGTTCATTGCCTTCCTTGCTTATCCCAAGGGCAAGAAGGCCATTCCCCGCATTTTCCGTCACATTGATCAGGAGCAGCGCGTTACTATTCTTACTATGATTGTTGTACACTTGGATTCTCTGGACGTTGTCCGACGCGCCCAGCCTGTTCCGGGTGAGACTCAGCCCTCTCTGGCCGTTCGGGAAGCCATCGAGCTTTTCTCTCAGGCCGTCATGCCCAGTCTTCTGGGATACGTGAACGAGGCGCCATTCAATATCATCATCGGGTTGCTGGGGCTTGTCATTGCGCAGACGCATGTCCAGATGATCTCGAGGACCCGCATTGGACTTGGAATCTTGACCATGCTTCTCAGTCGCGCCGAAATTGTGAAGGAAGCTGGACAGGCTACGGAGCGGGACTGGCAGCAGTGGGTTGAGAAGTTCAATGTGTTGTTTGACACCCTTGAACCTACCTTTGCGGATATCTTCCCCAGCGCGATCAATGCTGGTGACGACATGTATGTTTGGCAGTTCTTGGCTGCCGTTGGTATCGGAGCTAGCCCCGAACAACAGCAACGCCTTGTTATTGCGGTCAAGTAAGTTCAACCCCCTCATCTACATGGTTTACATTGTATTAACCGTTCTACAGGGACCGGGTGATGGAGACGGTGACTTACAGCAAGACGCTTCCCGCCGATATGGCCAGCGCGCGTCTTGGCAACGTCAACCTCTTCATGCGGGCTATTGGCCTCGATGTTGAACTTCTAGGTTAGATGACGGGGGGCGACCTCCACGAGATACTTCTTTCGCTGGCCAATTCCCACAGCTCCTTGGGCAGGCTGTTGCCCCGATTCTGCGTTATCCAGGACCGGACAGAAACCTATCTCAGTATCAATCCTGAACACCCGAGTCCCAACATGACAGGATCTGTTAGGTGGACTCCGGGCAGATGTCCTTAGTGAATTTGGCCTATACTTAAAGACCGATACCCGGTAAACGGGTGCTCGGGAGGGGACAACTGGCTGAAAGGTCAGTTGGTCTCTTGAGACGCGAAGCCGAGGTATGACGGCGTGCTATTGCAGCCGAATAATGGCACTGGCGAATGAAGCGCGTGCGACCAGTGATGTATTATGTACACATCACTATGATTCTTATGTTCCGTCCCACGACATGTTTGGTGGGTCTGTCAATAGTGATGTCTTCTAGCTATGTCTTCATGTGTTCTCTTCAATCCTATTTCTTTTATTTTGGAAATTTCTTGTCGGTAGCCGTGGGTTCTGTAAGGATCAGCCGAGTAGCCTGACCCTGCAATGTGGAGGGACGGACTTATCCACCTTATCATTTTATATTCACCGGCAAATCTCCAGCCTTGTCTGAGGCAGTGCACTATCCCGATCTATTTCAACCACTGATTTCATGTCCAGCTGTCTGCAGACCCCTCCAAAGATGAGATTTTCACCTCTTCTCCGGATCGATTCCAATATGGCCGGATGATCTCCAATCCCGTCGCATCACCAAAACTCAGACCACGTACACTATTTGCAATGAAAGATGATGCCAACCTCTAATCGTAAAGTTTTCGAATCTGGCGTATGTTATGCAGGTCCTTACACAGTACCAAGTCCCTTTGTTTCCATGTATCCATCCGCTCTCTAAGGCGCCATTTGCTCCGCCTCACACACCATCCCTCGGCCTAAGGAATAACCAACAAATGAGCCATAGTCCTGACATGCATTGGGAGCCAGAGTGTCCGGATTCCCGAGGTAACTATAGATGTGGTACCCTGCACAATTGTGAGCGACCTCGAGTGGCCTTGAGGGTCCAATAAGACATCACAGCAATGGACAAATCAGTGGCTGAAGCTGAAAGTACGATTAACTCGCTTCGAAACAATCACAGGTGCAGAGACGAACCTGCGAATTATCGTTATCCCGAGAAGTCTGTTCATCGCTGGTTAAGCGCCGTGCACGAGCTTAGCGGCTCTCCCTGGACGCTAATTGCATAGTCACCTTGTGCTAGCCAGCTTAGTGACAGCCCCAACAGTACCAACGCAAGGCTACATGTTGCCTCATGCCCTGACCTCTGTACTCTCCAGGATAATCCTTGCAAAGTTGGCAAATACGACTGAAGCGCGTTCAGCCCATCAGCACTAATGCTGTTGCTGTCACACAGCAACTTACTTGGGGACAAAACGTGGATCGGTTTTGATTGTCACCAACTCCGTTTATACTGTACGCGGATCCACTTAACTAGTCAGCTAAGCCTAATATTTGAGATAAGTTCGAGTTCCGCCTATAAGACAGAAGTAATAATGATGATCATCTTTGGGAACGCAAAATTGGATCCAATATGGACCAACGTGGCTTTCAACGTCGACGTTGGAAGAAACGATGAGTGTTGAAAGGTGAACAAACCAATTTGCATCTCTCGTTCTGGTTTAATTCTCATATAAGATCGATCTTGGGTTCTGAGCTCGCCCAGTGAATGCTAAATGAAGTCGAGTAGATGGATGATCTTTGAGCCAATCTTACTATACACGCCCTCGCTTAGCGATCTACTTACTTTGACTTTTGATCGATCATGCTGGAAAATGTGCCACGGTTCCTCCAGAATCACTGGCAGGACTTCACAAGTACAGCCATCATGGATCTCTTGGGGTGTGTAGTCATCGCCCTCGTTGGCTACATCATTTACCAAGTTTGGTTCCATCCCCTATCCTCCTACCCTGGCCCATTTGTCGCCAAGCTGACCAACCTCTACTCGGTGGTTCACGCCATACGCGGCGATCGCCATGAGGACCTATACCACCTGC